TAATTGAACCACAAAATTATTCTACAACAATCATCTCTTTTGACTGTCTTTTGGAGTGTTTCATGACTGCACGTATCTCAAGGAAGTTTTGGTCAGCTATGCACAGCAGGAGGCAGAGATCAGTTTTCTGAGTTCAGATCATAACAGGTCGGTTTTGGTCGCTACGCATATTGTGTATTAAGCTGTAAACAGCTTTGTGACTAGATTGGAGTCGACAAGTGTACTGTTGTCGGAGCAGGAATATGGAATAATCTGTTCACTCAAAGATAATATATCATCAGCATCTCCTGTCCAAGTTACACTTTCGAAAACAAATACTGACCACTTGTCATATGTTTCACGGGGGAGGGGGGTAGTTGGTAAAGTCAAGTGCGCCAGCCAATTGTGTATCTCAAAGGAATTAAGTGACAACGAAAACAACCTCGTCTATCAATTCTCTGATTAACCATTAACCAGTTAGATCTGATCATTTCAACTTAATGAAAGTACGATTCGGTTAGTGGGTCTCAATTATCCAATGACCAACCGATGAATTCCACCTTCTGCCAATTTGCATTGTATACAGCTGAACTGCCTTCATTTGTCATAGGCGAGTAACTTTCCTTTGACCCGACTTGATGGACCCCACTAACTTGTACTTCTCAATAAAACCCCAGGTAATTACTTTCATAGGGCTAGTAGTCACTGGTCACTATCAGATATAAGGATCAAGTGTTGGTTTTCAGAGACCTGATTGGTTACAGGTTTGATCGCCTGAAGAGTCGTAACAGCGAATCGTCAGAAGTTGAAATTCATGAGCTGACCAATGGTTAAATAGTCTGTGATCTCACCTTGTAACCAGAAGGTTCTGGGTTCGATCCCCGGTTGGTGTGTACTGTGAATACTCCGAGGCACTAAAACGAAACAGTTCTCTAATACTTCTAAGTTTTCCAGTGGTTCTCTAACCGATGTCAGCTCATGATGAAATCCTGCAGACAGTCAAATCCTTGTAAACCAACACTTCAGTGATCATGATTAGCAAAAGGAAACTCTGTGGACGAATCAATGAAGAACCTACAGTTCAACAATTATTCCGAAGAAAATGGAGATAGACGAAGTGGACATAGGCTGGTGGGACCGACCGTCACGTGGTATTTTAATCCTAGAAGGCCCTCCAGGATAACTTGATTGGGGAAAACATTTTAGATTGAAAATACACAAGAAGTTCAGCAAAGATGTTGATCTTTTCGACGATTTCATTCTCAAAAGCAGCTGTACAATCACATTTATATACATCAGCTTACATGGATACAATTATTATTTGTTTAATTCCACATAGTAACCGAGGTGATAATAATTTTCAACTTGATATGAAAATTTGAAGCTACGAATATAGATTACAAAGGGCTTAGAGACATATAAGATTTCATGGAATGTGAAAACAGTTACCACATATGCAAAATTAATATTTGATAACTGGAGAAATAATATTTTTAAAGGCGAATAAAGAGTGATAATTATTTTCAAATTGATATGAATTACAAGAGGTTTAGAGACGCAGGGATAGAACGAATTACAGGTGTGAACAAAATGAGCATGGGAACAAATTGAAATCAAAATTTTTTTCAACCTGAAATGTAAGTTAGGAGGAGGTATGAATATAGACTACAAGAGGCATAGAAACAAAAAATTGAACAGGATTGAAATATAATTGTAAAATGGTTATTCTAAACGGACTACAAGTGTGATCAGGAGGAGCATGGAAACAAACTTAAAATAACTGATTTTATAACAGAAAAAGGAAATTGGATGAATTGAACGAAGGCAAAGAGAGAAAAATTACACACAGAGAGACAGCTAAACGACAACAAAAAAATGCAGGATAAGGGAAGATACCGAAGTGGGTCCATGGTGGTTGTGAAGGTTGGACTAGTTTCTTTTGAACACATAGCTCCGGATTTTCAATGCATATGGAAAGAGCTTCCGCAGTACAAAGAAGTCAGAAACACTCTGCCTATGGTAGATTTTTGTTTACTTTGTAAATGACTCTAAATTATGACTCCCAGAATCTCAACTGACTCTTGTAATCTATATTTATACCTCCTCCTAACTTACATTTCAGGTTGAAGAAAATTTTGATTTCAATTTGTTCCCATGCTCATTTTGTTCACACCTGTAATTCGTTCTATCCCTGCGTCTCTAAACCTCTTGTAATTCATATCAATTTGAAAATAATTATCACTCTTTATTCGCCTTTAAAAATATTATTTCTCCAGTTATCAAATATTAATTTTGCATATGTGGTAACTGTTTTCACATTCCATGAAATCTTATATGTCTCTAAGCCCTTTGTAATCTATATTCGTAGCTTCAAATTTTCATATCAAGTTGAAAATTATTATCACCTCGGTTACTATGTGGAATTAAACAAATAATAATTGTATCCATGTAAGCTGATGTATATAAATGTGATTGTACAGCTGCTTTTGAGAATGAAATCGTCGAAAAGATCAACATCTTTGCTGAACTTCTTGTTCTTTTCAATCTAATGTTCCAGTGGATATTTTCCACGATTTGAAAAGTATTTTAGGCGTAGGTTTATAAGGATGCCTGACACTTGAGGAGATTGTGTGGTGAGGAGTAGACAAAAGCTCGTAAGGAATTATGAGTTCAGCTTAGGAGGAATGCAGAAAACTAGATAAAATGGACACGTGCTTTTGAATCTCTATATTCCACTCGTAACTGAAGGGAATATTAAACAACAATAATAACAATAATCGTCATCATGAAATTCTTAAAATAAGAACTGAGGTATAATTATGAGCATTGGACTGAACACAGAGATGACTAACTATAATTGTGTCACAGTGCAAACAGTTACTCCTAAGGATGTTAGAGAAAGATATTATCGAACCTATTTAAATACGCACGGCTATTGTATTATGATCAGCGACGTTGTGCTTTAATATTCCTTGCTTGAAACCTTTCCAATACAAAACCACTTCTCTGGTATCAGTATCGACCAAAAGCAGACTTCATTTAGAGAACCATTAACTCACTGACATAAAAGATAAGCGATTTTATTCCACTATTCTGGTGACTTACTAGTCTTCAAAGAACTCGCCTTGAACGTACATAATGGGAATTTCCTGGGTTCGTTCCCCACCAACTAGGATCATGGTTCAGTGCCGCTGAAGACCCCTTGACAAGGATGAAACAGCTCTCCAGTACTCCCTGTCGATGGTCTTCAATAGTTTGCAAACTGTATAAGTCAGTATATGATCGAATTCGAAATTAATCAATTCCTCTTTGATGGTGCGGAATTTGGAACTATTCTGTACTATATATATATCCTCTTTTGTGAAAAATACTTGTTACAACTATACCATTTCAGGGATTACTTACAACACGAAATGATCGTAAGAACACGCATTATTAGACATTATCTTACTTCAAAGAGAGACAAGTCTGTCGTTAAATGTAAGCGCATTCATGTTAAGGTAATCACATAGACCTCAACATTTCACTCTGTCATTCAGCATATTCTGTGTATTAGTGTTAAGTACCAAGAATTGATTCCGAGAATAAGGATAAGCTGTCTAATGCTGCCACCTACTCTATGTGTATCTATCACAGTTTGACTGCCTCTGTGTGTAGCCAGTTACATCGGACTTACTATCAACATGTTCGTCATTGTAAAAAGAGTTGAACACGGTCCATTCCTAGCTTTCTGTTCTACCTCTCACCCCTGCATGGATAATGAACATAAAGTCGGTGTCTTAATGGGGCATTCAAAGTTATCCAGTCTTGATTTCGCGTTATGAGTTCTTGTTTTTTACATATACCTAGCTGAAGCTATTGAAATCTACCGGAAGACGCCAAACTTCTGTGGATATGCGTTTATCAAGAAACAAAGCATGCGCCGACTTGAAAAACGCGCTCGTGAACACTACTCAGCCTGGTTAGTAAAAGAAAACCAAGAGCGTGTATGCAGTTCAGTGACAGAATATCTGTTCAATTCAGGACATTCAGCGCCTTTCGAAAAATCATTCACAGTAATTTACAAGATTCAATCAAAGCTATCAAAGTGAGTGAAATCAAGACATCTGGGCATAGCCTATGCGCTAGCTATCCCAAAGCTCAAACCCACGCTATGTATCCAAAAGAAAAACATCCAACCCCTGTCCCTGACATGGCCATCATAAACAGGTAATTTTTTAGTAATGACCATCCCATCGCTTTTCTTATCTAAACTTTCTGTTTATTCATGTTATTTTTTAAAGTTTTCCTTAATCCCTGTTTACACTACCATAATTTCATATCCGAACTTCGTGTTCATTTTGTCATTTCACTATTTCTACATATTTAATCCCTGATTGCATAAACAATTATTCATCACATTAGTTTTTTTAACCAAACATCCTGTCTAGTATTGTTATTTCAACATTTCTAACGCCTAATTGCACAATGTCAATCTTCTTAGTTATTATGATGCTACTTTCATTGGGTTTTATCCATCCCCCTGTTTAATATGGCATTCTAATTCTTAATTGTAATTTTTATTAATCTGACCCTTAACCGGAAATTATTCTGGAACTTTCCCATCCATTTGATATAAATACACGAAAGGAACAGCCTAGTTGACGGTGACTTCGTCGAAAAGAAAATTTACTTCGCTGCAATTGTCTTCTTGATAAAACTCCTATGACCCAATGTGTATATTCCGCGATTTGGAGAGAAACAACACATACTTTGCTAGCTCAATCTCTTCCTCAACCTATGCTCAAATATTCAAACTAATGTCTATTTTTATAACATTCTAATGTCTTCTAAACTATTCCCTGCATGGTAAATAACCAATAATAAAAGAGATATTTCAATTACTGGATGAGAAACTCAGCGAAATTTATGAAAACGCTCACATGACACATTGAAGCATTTTATTCAGTTTAACAGTGTGAAATGTTTACACAATTAATTTACCAAAATAGTCTTCTTGTTCTATCATAGGGATTCACACTCACCGAAATTCTGGGATCTCTAATATTATTCTGTGGCATCATCACTTGTCCATAAGGTTGTAAAGTTGTCCTCAATCTTGGCGCATTCAAATACTGAGGTTTACTCAACTGGATATTCTGTCTTACAATGGGGAGTCGAGATTGTCTCAAATATAGATTTGATGAAGGTGAATACGTTGAATTTGTAAGTTTGATGGATATTGTGTAGACTGCCTGCTATACTGAAGCATATTTAATGATTGAGGTGCGAATAGTGGACTTCTTCTCCAAGGAGTATTCTGTTGCACTGGTGTATTTAGATTCCTTGTATATTTAGGATAAAAGATATTTCTTCTACTTTGATATGGAACACTTGTGGGATATGGCGTAGGCTGTGAGACAGTTTTACGCGGTGCCGGTGCCGGTGCCGGTGCCGCTGGAGGTGGTGATGATGATTGTGGCATTAGCACTTGTTGAGAAGGATAAAAACCATTTTGCATCGTCAGCTTATTCCAGACAGGATATTGTTGTGTATTCACTTGTTGACTCACTGATGGAATATCTTCATAATTATCATTTTCATATCCCCCAATACTACTAATGAATTTCTCTAATTCCTCATCTGCAATCCCCGTCGACAGTGGTTGAGATTGCGGTGATCTCTGTTCTTGTGATTGGGGTTTAGTCTGAGGTATAGAAAACAATGATGTTCCATCATTCCCTCCATAGAATTGAAATCCAGTCGGACTAAGAATTGTATTCATTCCAGGTATATTTTTTATAACATCTTGTCCAGATGGTGTATTATTATTATTATTAATATTATTTCTCACAGTATCAAACATATTAACAGATGGCTCAGGTACTTCATGCCAGTCACCGTCTGGCATCATTTCAAATTCATTTGATGATGATGACGATGATGGTGATGATGATTGACTTTGATATACTGGATTGAATAGTAGATTTGTAACACTGGAACCTTGTTGAATGCTCAAGAGAAATAGAATTAAAACACACGAGACACGAAGACAAGTTTGCTGTGACATAGTCAACTTGTTAAATGAACGAATTGATTCACTTGTTTGTTTTTTAAATAAATAGCTGATGACCTTGGTTGTGATGACTACTCAGGCGAAAAAATGAAATCGATAAGTCTGGGGCAGTTTGATTTATTAACGAATCAAATTAAAAGCATGACAAATTGTTTGAGTGACCTTCACTTTTATTTTTCCAATGTGAACAGTGATCAGACTAATCGTAGTATGAATTGTGTTTAATTTTAAGTGAATCAGTGGTCTGTCTTTAGTGTACACTTACTTGTCAAAGGGGGGGGGGGGTAAAAAGTTCAATAAAATTTGATGTTGATAAAATAGGGGAAAATATTTTTTCTTTCATACATTTGGTTCCCTCTTGATAAATTTCGATAGAGAAAGAAAGAAAGACCAGATTTACAGTATAAAATAATGATGCCATCATCATTCTATTTCACAGGTTCCCCTCATCAACTGCTGCTGCACACCACTCCCTGAAATTACAATGGTTATAAATAGTGATAACATTTCATACTTCATTGTTTGAAAGAGTAATAGAGAAAACATTATAAGATGAATGCATCCCGAATATAAGTATTACAATTATTTCTAGTTTGAGTTACCATCAAATTATATACTATCAAACCATGAAGGAGCATAGAGCGGCACTAAGGAGACTATGTGAAAATGATGACCTCGTCATGTTTAGACCTGATAAAGGCTCTGGAGTTGTTATAATGAATAAAACTCATTGTGTACATACGATGTTGACAATTCTTAACGACTCCGAAAAAAACTAAGAAGGATGCAACAACGTTATTCGAAAATACAGTAAACAAATGCCTCAAAGAACTACTCATCAAGAAACAGATTGACAACAAAACTTACAATGAACTGAAGTCATAGGGTGGACGACTCCCATTTATGTATGGTCTACCAAAAATCCATAAGGCCAATGATAAACTCACCATGTCACAACCTAGCTCAATGGCTAGCTCATTCATTGAAGCCAATTCAACAGAAATTTTCAAATCATAGCTTGGATGACACCATGTTGATATATCAAATGAATCAATGGTGTCATACGACGTAACTGCCTTATTTACAAATGTACCAGTGATAGAAGCAATAGACATCATTTGTAAACAAACAGATCTATTGCCATTACCGGAGACAGAGATGAAGCGACTACTAATTCTTTGCACAAAAGACATCCAATTTAGATTCCATAACCAATTCTACCTACAAATTGACAGGGTCACCATCGGTTCACCTCTAGGACCCATTCTAGCCGACATCTTCATGAATTATCTCGATCAGATGCGACTGAGTGACGCTATCAATGAAACAACATACTACCGCGGATACATCGACGAAACTTTTGTTATTTGTAACGACACGATTCAGTCATCTGTATTATTTGACCGCCTTAATGAGATCCACTCAAATATTATTAAATTCACCATGAAATACGAACACAACGAGGAGTTCAATTTCCTGAGCATAAATGTAAAATGAAGAAACGATGGAACGGTTGAGAAGTCCATCTACTGAAAAGAAACTTGGACTGGACAATACTCTCACTACAACAGATTTTGCCCTTTGAGCCATTAGCGTGGATTAGTAAGGACACTGTACGACACACCCAGGAAGTTATGTTCGCCTAACAAGTTAAAAGGAGAAGAAGAATTAAGCTCTGTTGAAAAATGATTTAAGGAAAACGGGTATCCAAAAGGATTTATCCTACAGTACAGCAAAGAAAGAGATGAGAAAGGGATGTATCCAACAGCTGAAAAGAAGAAACTGTTCATTCGCCCCCTCATTTAAAGGAGAAACAGTATCACAAAAGATTGAAAAGAGGATGAAAGGAGCAATATGAAAAGATGCTTCACTGCAGCCAATCTAGTGACACTATACAGCACTACATGCTTGTTCTATAAGTCAATGGAAACTGGATAAGTACCCAGCTGATGTTACCACCAACTGCATTTATAAATTTACGTGCACCTGCGACAGCAAGTACATTGGAAGAACAGAAAGAAGGCCTTCTCTCCGCTGTTTTCAGATCATATTTCGAGAAACTTATGCTTGAAAGGAAGTAGATATTTACAAAGTGCAATTATCAGACACCCACACTGTGGATACGGGTCATTTTGTCGAGATTTCCTAATTTCCTTCAAAATATTAAACATTCAAAAGGAACAGCGAATCTACTACGATTTACTGCTGAAGCAATTGCAATCAAACGTTTTAGACCAAACTTATGCACACAGAAAGAGAGTGTAGGCAATCTCTCACTCCCTTTGTAATGAACCATATCACTTTGATTACACTGATTAGCCATACACACTAGTGGACTCAACTCACTAGGCAAGTTTTCAATTTGATGAACTTTGACCTTCTGAGTTACCATGTTGACACGGTTTATTAGATGTTTCTGTTTTCCCTCTTCTCTCACCCACCCTTCTTTTTTCTATTTTCTTCATAGTTTGATAGTGTATAAATTGATGGTAACTCAAACTAGAAATAATTGTAATACTTATATTCGGGATGCATTCATCTTATAATGTTTTCTCTATTACCCTTTCAAACAATGAAGTATGAAATGTTATCACTATTTATAACCAATGTAATTTCAGGGAGTGGTGTGCAGCAGCAGTTGATGAGGGGAACCTGTGAAATAGAATGATGATGGCATCATTATTTTATACTGTAAATCTGGTCTTTCTTTCTCTCTATCGAATGTTTTTCTTATTCCTGTTATAGGTCAACAGAAAACAGAAAAGTGAAGCCTGTGAATCAAGTGAAGGCAGAAATAAGAGAAGGCTGCCCTCTTGTTATCAGTGATGATATTCGTGAAAATGATAGAATAGATCAGGAGATATAAGCATATAACTTGTACACGCATTCTAGTAGATATTTAAACTTTTATTCATCTCATTCGTTCGTTATCTGTCTGTGAAAGCAGCTAACTTAGTTAAGTGTTTGACAAATCGAGCAATCGCACTAAGTATTACGTCATCAAGCCTAAATGATGAAATGAAACAGATAGAAGAATAACTGGTGGTTGATGTCAAATAACTAACTATCCTATAAAATTCATTCAGAAGATCAGAAAAGTTCAAAAGTAGAATAAAAATAATGAGGAAACTAATAATGATAACATAAATGAGAGAGAATATAAGGCATCTACAGTAGTTTTACAATATAAGGAGGGGGAGGGGACATCTGAGACCATCCCTACGTAGGATTCTCAATAAAACAGGATTTGGAGTGGCATTCAAACCTGCAAAGTCACTCAGACAGGACCAGCTCGATAGGCAAAATGACTGCGCAGTTTGACTCAATTGGACAAATACTCGCTGAAGACATTAGCGTCGGTGGCCTAGCGGCTAGGACGCTCGCCGACCATGCACATGGTCCGGGGTTCGATCCCCGACCGACGGACACACTCCTTTACATCGCTAAGCCAGAAATAATGCTGGTAGAGAGGAAAGGTCGGGCATGGGGCTAACAACCCCATCCTGTAAAATAAACACTGCTACAGAAACCTTAATCCACTACCTTGAAGCCCTATGTTCCACTGGGAACGACAAGGAAAAATTAGTAATTAATTATTCGCCGAAGACATGGGCTATTGATCGCGCCATGTCGTGAATTGGCAGAAGTTGGAATACATACGCCATTGGATTCGATCCCAGTGGATTAATGGTCTAAAAGCTCGCTAGCCTTGTAACTAGAAGGTTGTGAGTTCAAAGACTGGCACCGGGTGTGTGCTGATGAAGAGTCGTAGACTAGAACGAAACTGCTGCGCAGTACTCCTTGTTGGTTTTCCAATGGTTCTCTAACTAATGTCAGCTCATGATGAAATCCCTACAAACCAACACTTGAACATAATAATATAATTTACAAAATACCTTGCAGTCACTGTGACCGAGGTCAACTACATAGGTCAAACTAGTAGGTCAGGGGTAGTCAGACTGCCTGTCGGAACATATGAATTTTGGCTAAGGTAAGAATGGTTGACCCCGAAAAGATAAGTAATTTAGAAAAAAGGTCAACAATACATTGCACTGCATGCATTAACAGACAACCACACACAATAGGGTGGTAGAGGGTCGGAATTTTAAAAAGTAATCTAGGTAGCTGGAGAGACAGAGAGATTGATTACTGAATCCTTGTTCATCGAGTGAATCTACACCCAACACGTGCAATAGGAATGATTCATCACTCACACCAGAAATATGGAAAACACTACAACCGATCAAGACAAACGTTGAAAAATATGGAATTCTATAAACGAAGTTTGAGAGTTGTGTGATTAGTGCTTTGATATGATTATGACCAGCAATAAATTGAGCTTTTAAAGTGGTCATCAGTAAATATTACTGTATAACACATAGTGAGACTTTATCAAAACAATTTTTACCCATAATGGAATAATAGATGAAGAGGTAGACACGATGCGTTGGAAGAAAGCAAAAAAGAGGGATCCTCTGGACGGATAAGCGGACTACTCTAGAAGATGTGGAATTCGTAGATGATTTATGTCCCATAACACGCAAACTCTGAAATCAAAAGGAAAAACCATCAAATCGGCAGAAGACGATGACATTAAAGATGACACTGCTGATGAAGAAAAACAACCAACAACAACAACAGCAGCAGCAACATCCAGCGTCAATCACCATCAACGGGAGGGATTTGAAAGAGGTTACTTCATTCACTCACTTATCTAGGGAGCATTGTCTCAACTACACGCAGTTGGAACGGACGAGGATGTCAAATCGAGCGAGAATCGGGAAGGTGAGAAACACATTCATCAACTTGAAATCAATCTGGAAATCTTTGTCACTCAGCCAGCATCAACAACAAAATTCTGTCGGATTTTCAATACAAACAACGTCAAGTCAGTCAGTTCTTCTATACGGATCAGAGACTTGACGGATGAGTCACAAATAATATTTCCAACAGCTTGTTGCAGACCTTTATCAACAACAACTGTTTTCACTCCA